ATCCACAGCGCGAAGTTGATTTATTTTCTCAGCGACCAGCACGGATCAGCTCTAGGCATGACGAAGCGGATATCGTCCTCTTTTGGAAGGCCAAACAAAGTACTTTTTCTTTCGCAGCAAACCACACAGTGTCTCCATGACATGGCGGCGTTTTGGCGGCAACAATACTACAGCGAGAATAAAAGTTACGGCTTCTTTCTTTGCGTGAACGTTTGGGCGGCGTTATGCAAATCTTCCGAGATCGTGACGTAGGTATGTGGGGGTGTGTTAGAACGAGCCGTTTTAGGTAGGCGTGGCTGACTCTTAACTTTTATATAGAATATCTCTTTGGATTTGAGACTTTAGTCTTTGCAACTTTACAGATCTTCTTTATGCACCAAGAGCTTGTAACACTCCAAAGAGAAAGGAAAAATTGAAATCGCATCATATGACCCCTTTAACTAGATGAAGAGTAGAGTAATATATTTGAATTGCCCTTTAATTTTGTCTTTGCCATGTTTTGTTCAAGGTTATATTATTGTTAATAATTCTCTTTGTCTGGAATTTCTCTCTATAGAGAGTGTCAGGTGAAACACTGGCCCAAGCACAAGCCTGCATGCAAACTCATGGCAGAGGCCATAGAAAAACTTCAGGAGGAACTGAACATCAGCAGCTGAAGTACAGCTGATAAATGAAAGGGCTGGAGAGAGTCATGCTGTGGGGCTCAGAGTCCAATATGAACTGTTCAATTCAATGGACAACGATGGAAAAAGACAAATGATACAACTGTTCCTGACTGTTTCTTTCTTGAGCTGTTCTGTTTGTATATTGAGTTTGAAGAAAGTAGATCATTCTTGATAGAAAGCTTTCATATATTCATATTCTTTCTAAGTGTATGTTTATAAACATGATTACATATTACATCATTTATTTATATTTCTCACATTTTAACTGATTGATTATTAACTGTTACACTATAACCTTTAAATGAAAAATGGAAATAAACTGAATTAACTGCTAAAATACATTTGAGATGCAATCACTTAGATTTTTACTGACAAAACTTTATTGCATCTGTTGTAAATGACTTCCTTTAATTTGGAAAGCAAAAAGAAGACATTTTGAACAATATCGTTTGCACTGTTTTTCATGCAATTACAATGAATGATGACTGGAGCTTTTAAGTTTTAGAATAAAAAAATTTGAACTAAATATGAAAAAAGACCATTTCTCATTTTCACTTGGCCTAAATTGATGTACTAAAATAACTAAAACTAAACGCATACATACATATACTGTATATATAACAAATTGAAAATATACAAATAAATTAAAACTAGTAATTAAAACTATAATAATATCCCAATGATACTAAAACTGTTAAGCTTAAAAAGGGTGCAAAAGTGACATAAATGTAATTATTTTATTTGTACCTTTTACAAAACACCCCACAAACCGTGTTGAGCTGATTGTTTAATTGTAATGTTAACACAGCCTCCGAGTTCCAGTGGGATTTGCTCTGTAAAAATCCAAAACACTTGTTACAAGTGCCTTTGAATCTCATAACATGGGTGAAAACACGACCCTGGAGATCTGTACTGCTCCAATGCCAAAGAACACATGCATACAGTTTCTCCCAGCAGGCCGTGAGACAGACGTCTGGATTTGTGGGTATCTGTAACAGATTTGGAACTTCACAGTTCAAATTTCATTCACAAACCTTCTTTTTGGAATATAAGAAACCTTTGGTTTGTACAATTATGAACTATGTGGAATTGTATTACCACTGTAAATGCTGTACTGAAACCTGTATTTTAACAAATTACAGTACATTACACACTGGACATATTCAACTATTTTCAGTTTCTTGTATGGATGTAAACACAAAAAGAAAATCAAATACATAAGACACTCAAAAGAAGAAAAAGACAACAACAACAAAAAAAGATGAACTGATCTATAATAGTAATTCGTTTTTAGTGGTGTAATTATTGTCTTGTATCAAACGTACTGACATTTCAAACAGGAACAATCAGTCTTTTAGGACATTAGCTTCATTCGTCTTTCAACACATTGAGACTTTTCCAGTGCATTCAACATAGTTATCACATTTTCTCTAAGAAACATTTCTGAAGCTAATACTTGATTCATTCATTTGTTGAACAATAAAATGTACAAAAAGTAACATTTCGCAGAAGAACTGAAAAGTTAACATGATAAATGAAGTACTCCACTTTTCTACTGTAAATACTTAATCTGCTTGGACCTTCAAACTTGAGATGTTTGGTTCAGAAACATCAGTTCATGGTTTCATGATCAATAACCAACAAGACAATATCACAGTACAGTACACAGACCTTTCTTGCCCCTTTATATCAAATGTTAAAAAGACCAATACAAAATCTAGATGTACCCACAATTATGTCTAAAGGACATGCTTTATAAAACAGATATTAACAAAATACATACAAAACTTTCAAAAACATGTTGAAAGTGTATAAAAAGAACACATTTCTGTTTACCATGTACGATGAACTGTGTGTAGAATATGCTTGGAATTCTTTAGTTAAGGTCTGAAGTATGTTTTATTGTTAGAAACTGGAATAAACTGTTTCTAAATTAATTTTCACTGATTATATTCCCTCTTTTCCGTCTTCGGTTGTCGTCCATGGAATCTGAATTAAGAAAGACAATTTCTGATTAAAAAAATATGCATACATTTAGACTAAAAAAATACATTAAAGTCATGAAAGCTTGAGGTGCTGTAACACACGATAGAATGCGATTGTCTTACCTTGCTAAGCTCTCTTTAGTTCCAGCTCTCAGCATCGCTGTAGAAGAAAATTAAGAAAATTTCACTAAAACTTCAGAGAAATTACAATATTTCAAATTACTTAAGTTATACAGAGATGAAGAGTAAGGTATAACTGAATCAAAGATTGAGGAGTTACAGGAAGTCATGCAAAGCTACATGCACAGTGTGACATGTTACTGGAAGAACATGCGAACGATCAGACTGACAACACATATGATTACAGTGAAACATACATAGCTATGTTTACATGCACCCAAATAATCTGTTTATAATTGGACTGATGGCTCAGTCGGACTGAAAAGTGTCCATGTAAACACCTCAACTGATATGATGGAGAAAATAAGCATGTGATCATTTGAATCCAAATATTTTCTCAAACGGATTCAAAAATGCCACACCAGCAGAATAGAGTCTGAAAGTGACCATATGAAACATACACAAGACTGTGTAGCGATGAAGCGATGAATGATGGTGAATTCCTGATACATGTGTAAGAAAAGAGAAAAGTGGAAAGATGGAAAGACGGAAAACAAATGCCTTGAGTATGGTGGCGGGTCATGAATGAATACAAAGTGAGAAAATGTAAAGTTGAGACATAAGAAGAGTATGAACTTTAAAACAAGAAGAGCACTGATGTGAACGAATGTGTTTGCAGAGGAGACGTATGGACATAACAATGCAAAGATAGAAAAGGTCAATAAAGGGCGAACAGATGAGCTGCTGAAAGGGTTTGTACCTGCAGGATGCATGTACAGTTGCATACCCCGTGTGAAAGTGTGTGTGTGTGAATCTGTGTCACCAGTCAGGCTGTCTTGGGGGGGCTGAGGCCCGAGGATACCACCTCATTGTGTCATAGGATGGATAGCTGAAAAAAACCCAGGTGCACTTTGAAAGTTTGGAATGGCAGTACAATTCGGACAGATCTAAACTCAGTGTGGCATCTTTTGTTTAGCTCCAAAAAAATGACAGAAAACTGTCATGCAGAGGATCTGTAAGGATAGGGATGCATGCTGGGATACAGATGTCATGCTATTACATTATTCACTATTTGCATGCATTTCATTTAGTCCTAAATGTTAGGAAAAACTACAATTTTGTAATGAATTATAGAAACAGATCAATTCTACCAACACAGAAATTTATGCAACTATTTTCATACTTTGACCAATGAAACAATACAATTATAGACATCCATGCTATTTTATGTTTAAAACTAAAAAAAAAAAAAAAAAAAACCTTAACCAGAGTTTTACATGCTGAAGTGCATTCAGGCAATATTGTAATATACAGTATGAAAGACACATAGCTGTTCAATTTTTAACCTACTAAAAAAAAAAAAGGATAGTGTATATATTATAATAATAGAATCTTATAATCATATTTTAGTGTTCAAAATATATAATCCGAAAAAATATATCATCTAAAAATAATAATATTTAACAAAATATGTGAAATCAGCTGGTCATATCATGCATTTTTTCAAATAAGTAATTTTCACTCAAGATAAAGGTGTCAAATATACTGTCACTCCTTCAGCTGTTGTATTAGAAACACCTTTGCAGTGGTAATATTTTTGTCATTTATTGCTAAGGTGATGCAACACAAAGTATAGATATACAATGTTAATAATTATGGAAATGCGTCACAGTCTGTGAAAAGGGTCCATACATACTGTTCACATACTCATAAAAACATTCATGCACACAATTGACTTCTATAGACATTCAGCTAATACTGATGATTTAATCAAGCAGAGATGAAGTGGTGGAATAAACTCTACCTGCTCATCACGGGGTTGTTTATGCCATATAAAGACTCACTATGATAACCACTGACAACAACATCCAAACTACTGTAAATGAAACAGTGAAGGTAAACATTAGTCGCTTGTAAAAGTAGCATGAGATGAATGATTGAATGCATGCAAGTAGTTTATAGAGTGACATGATTTCTGTAAAAAAAAAAGTTATAAAGTATTTATTTAGTATCTGAGATTTCAAATGTGCAATAAGATGGAAAGTAAAAGAAATTTGAAAAGATAATGTAGATGAAAAGAGGAGAAAACTGAAGTGGTTTGTTATCAGAATGTGAGGAGAATATGGAAAATAAGAGCGGGTTTGAGGATATAAGAGACATAAGATGACTCTTAAAAGAAGAAAACAAGGCTGTTTCAAACACACGTGGAGTAACAGTCCTCCTTGAATCTTGGTAAAGATTTTCAGTTTAGTTGCAGTTCTGAATTTGATGCATTTGAAGAAAATGCTTGATCCATTTTATAAGGCCATATTTCACTTCAAAGATATTACATATGACACATACTGCAATCTTGTGGTGATTCAGTATAAATTCAGCAGGTATGTGTTCACTTACTCATCATAGACATCCTCAGTGTCCATCCTGCGGTAGAATTTGCCGAGTTTTACAGATAAGATGATGCTGGGAATGAGTAACAAACAGCATCCTCCCAGACCAAACCAGAATGTGTTCTAAAACACACACACACACACACACACACACACACACACATGCACAATAATATAAAGAATTTTCTTAATCTTATATATGGGCATTTATGAACACATATATGAACGTTTTTGCATATGTTTTAGTTTAACATAAAAAAATTAACCTATGACAGTACATTCACTACCATTCAAAAGTTAATAATACTTTAACAATAATACTTTTATTCAACAAGAATGCATTACATTTATCAAAGGTGACAAAAAGGACATTTGTAATGTTACAAAATGTTTTATATTAAATAAATGCTGTTCTTTTGAACTTCCTATTCATCAAATAATGATAAAAAAATTTATCATGCACCATAAAAGTAGTCTATTTGACTAATGCGTTATATTCAAGTGTCTAAAAGAGTATTGTGAACTTCCTGTCTAACATCTCCTCGTGTCTTCAATTAAAAAAAGAAAATCATATGGGTTTGGAACAAACTGAGGGTGAGTAAATGATGACAGAATTAAAATTTCTGGGTGAACTGTCCCAGAAGCCAGAGCTTGGGAAATCCCCAATTACAGAACACTGCTCTGTTAAAGTGAGTGTGTGTTCGCCTCTGGAGTGTTTATTTCTGTAAGGTCATGGTTTCAGTTCACACACACACAAGCATTTATACTGCAATAACATTCTCAGAGTGTGAACACTGACAATCTTGTTCTGTTCTGTGAGAGTGAGTGTGTGTGTGTGTGTGTGTGTGTGTGTGTGTCTGTGTGTGGAAACGTGCATATGCTGCACATGTTCATGGGTATATCCAGTCTGTCTCGTGAGTGTGTGTTCTTGTATGTGTTACAGTGGTTTTGTATATCTTACCACTGAGTCAACAACGAAGCTGCAGCCTACGATCTCCAGCGAGTCAATGATGTTGCTGATGGGCTTGCACTGGGCGACCTCCATTTCCAGCTGTGCATACAGAGGCGCACATGAGTAAAACTGATTTAGTTGCAGTGTTACATGACAAAGTGCTGCTCTTTAAGAAAATGCTGGACTTTTCTTATCTTAGCATACTCACAGAGTGCTTGACCCAATCCGTATATTGTGAAAAATATCCCACAAGTTTCTTAATGAATTTATCAGCCTCCTGTGACATGTTAACAAAACAAAAATAGTTAAAAAAAGAAGTAAAACATACATACAGAGCATTAATAACTTTTTTCTTTGTCCAGTAATAAACCAAACATCTTTAAAACAAGATAAATTTACCTGAGAAACAAAATTGTGTAAGATAAGACAGAGAATCTATCCTGAATTAAGATGATTTTTCTTACCACATTACTTATTTGTGTGTGTTTCTTATCTCTTGTGGATTATTCGTAAACAAGACAAATAAACCTAATTCAAGATATGTTCTTTAAAATCAAGTTTTAGGGTCAGATTTACTAAACAGGGCAAATTAGTGTGAGAGCACAATCTCATAAAAGCGCTGATGGGAGTGGAAAGTTCTGTGGCTGATATACTGAATGAGCAAATTATAGAACGCAGGCACAGAATCTCATTTCCATAACGACCAGCATAATCTATCAACGGCAACGCAAATTAGAGTCTGGTTTTGGCTTCTCAAGTAAATGTACCTTTTACTTTTTTTTTTTTGCAGCCTGTGGTTCTATGAATCAAGATTAATAGTTAGTAAATGAATAAAGTGATAGATGAATAAATTAAATATAAATATTTGTACCTGTTTGACCACATGTGAAGCATTGTTGGCGATGAGGTACTCTGCTGCTTCAATGGCATTCAAGACATTTGTCACTTTAATCTAGAGGAAAAATGTGATAAATATTAAATAATTATTCACATATTTAGTTTAGTTCTAATTACAACTCTATTTGGACACCTTATCCACTATTAACGATGTATAAATGTCACTGCATTATATAAATACCAAAACCAAGTGGCATTAATTATATAGAAAGATTGAAATAAAGTTGTGTGTATTTACTGGACTTACAGGTAGGTCTCTGGATGTTTTCTGAAGCAGTTTGATGCTTTGACTTAGAGTGCCCTACAAGAAAAAACACATACGCTTTATTTAAATAAACATAAAATACTATATAAATCACTTACAATTTGGTGAGTCACTGGTGTCTCTGATTCAAATTATTTTAAATCTGTTCAGTACGTCAGGCTCAAGTGTGCTCTTTCGAACCCATTTTTTAAAAGTCATTATTACAGATAATGAATTAGTCGCTGAAAAATCCCAGCACAAACACAATGAGCCAAAAAGAGCACTTACACAAACATGCAAGCACAAACATTTACAGAACACATCTGAACTAAAGCTGTCCACATTTACTAAGAAGTACATTCACTTTTGGATTATCACGTCACAATACCAACTGTTGGCTTACCCTTGCTTTCACAAATTTCTTTGGGTTCCATTAAAAGAAAAGAATAAAGAATAAAACTTAGAATAAAATTTCCTTTGTCCTCATAAACCAAACGACTTGAAAACATACTAAAAATGACAAAGGTTTTCTGTGAGGGTTATATTTATGGGTTGGGTTAGGGGACAGTAAACATGATTAGTTCAGTATAAAAATAATTATGCCTATGAAGAATCCCTGTAAACCATATATGCCAGTTTGTGTGTGTTTGTTTGCGTACATACGGTACTTGACCATATTTTAGAAACAAATTTGAACCCAGAAATGAACAAAATCTTATAAAACCTCCTTTTGGGAACATCATCAAAAATGTATTTAGGATATTTTTATATTTAGGATATAGTGTTTATAAGTAGCTGTATATAAAAACAGAAGTCTATGGAATGCTCTGTGTGTGTGTGTGTGTGTGTGTGTGTGTGTGTGTGTGAAATTCAGAAGTGGACGTTTATGCATCGCAACGTTCACTTTTGTATTTATTTATTTATTTTTATTTATTTATTTATTTATTTATATATTTATTTTGTTTATTTTTATTTATTTTATTTTTTATTTTTGGAAACATTTTTGGAATAAAATGCAAGCTCCAATAAGCTAAGGCTGATTTCAGAGCTGAAATTGTATTTAGCCTAAACAAATACAACATTGTTTAATTAGTGCAATATTGTTGGAAATGGTGTTACAACTGTAGCAGCTGTAATTTCTGTAAATGGATATAAACATTTAATGTAATAAATATTTAAATAATTTGTTTATTCATTCTTTGTTTAGACTATAGATTAAAGTTTTAAAAATTTTACATCACACTTTATTTTAAGGTTCAATTCTCACTATTAACTAATTATTAACTGTGACTTTTGCCTCAATAAACTCCTACTTTGCTGCTTATTAATAGTTAGTAAGGTAGTTGTTAAGTTAAGGATTAAAGGATCTAAAATATGATCATGCAGAATAAGGCATTAATATGTGCTTTATAAGTACTAATAACAGCCAATAGTCATATGCAAGCTAATAAACTACTGTAGTTAATAGTGAGAATTGGTCCTTAAAATAAAATGTTAACTAATTTTATAATACATTTTTATATTTTAAGATTTAACATCTAGGACAAGGATTAAATATCCTTCTGCTGTAATACAGGTAGAATTTGACTTATTATTTAATGATAAACAATATTAACTATTAACAAACAGGCTCATGTCTCAGACCAACATTTCAAGCCAAAAAGACCCAGTAAAAGACCCTCAGTCATATCCCCATAAGCACACGCACACATTGAGCTGCACACATTCTGTAGCTGAGCGTTTTCCCCTCATGAATGCAGTGCTTGTGTCCCGCTACACTCTTCATAAAAAGATTCAAAATGTTCCAGAGACTCCAGGCAGTTTGATACATACAGTAAATAATATCTAACCTAATGAACTGCCAATATCTTCACATATCATAAAAGAGACATTAGTAGACTGCAATTATTACCAATTGAAAGTGATTAATTTGTCTTTGTCTCACCAGCTGGTCTGCTTGAGCTTCAAGTTCATTTGCGTAGGACAAAAGATCCACAACTGTCACTCCTTTATTCACCTGTCAATCAAATAATTCTCATTAGAATGTCTTGTGTTGTTGTGCCTGTAAGTGTGTACGAGAGTGTGTTGGTTACCTCAGTTAGATAAGCCTGATAGTCGATTTCTCCAATGCCTGTGTTAGCAAAGTCAATGAGGTTATCTTTGCCCTCCTGTTCCAGAAGCAGCATCCCCTGGAGATCCACATTCACACTATTAAATATCTTGGTCAGTTCCAGGTTATACTGTTGAGAAATCACAAACACGTGTTTAAAGAACTGATGTCGTGTTCAGTCTGTAGATATAAGCTTTTTGTCTTTCTTAAATCTCTTCACGCACCACTGTGGCATTGAGAAACTTGTTGAAGTTGAACTTGGTCTCCAGTTGTAGTGCTGAATATAAACCATTATTCTCATAACAATCTCTGAGTAAGAGAAAAAGAGAGAAGCAAATCAACATTTTATTGCAGAGCAAATAGTGTGTCTAATAAATCATTAAAGGCGTATTTCACTCAAAAACAAAAATGTTGTCATCAATTACTTACCCTCATGTCATTCCACACCCTTTAGTTTATCTTCATAACACAAATGAAGATATTTATAATGAAACCTGACAGATTTCTGTCCCTCCATTGAAAGTCCATGCAACTAAAACAGAAGACTTGGTTCATGGATCACTCGATTCATTTGGATTGCATTTACATCGTCTTTATAAACTTTCTGAAGTGGAATGGACTTTCAATGGAGGAGCAGAAATCTCTCAGGTTTCTTTATAAATATCTTCATTTGTATGCTAAAGATCAAGGAAAGTCCTATGGGTTTGGAAGGACATGAGGGTGAGGAAGTGATGACAGAATAACTACAGCATCTCTTTAAGATCAACTACTTGTAATTGACTTTCAGCACTGATCTTTGCTCACACACTTACCTGTACATACTGCCGATAGTAAGGTCGATGTTTGGATCTTGAAACAGCATGCCAGGAAGGAAGTTCTTTTTGGTAGGATGGACCATATATGGTGTGTCGATTATCTGAACAGCATTAAAAAAAAATCTATTTATTTGTCAAAAAAAGTCTATTTTCCATATGCTAATCATAAAAATTATAAATGATAATTCTGTCACGATTTACATCAGTTGCTTCAAACTTGTATGACTTTCCTTATTCTGTGGACCTCCAATAAAGAACTATTAATTTAATATTAAAGATATTAAATTCACATACAAACCATAGGCCACAGGTCTAAATGTGTTCGAGGTCCTGTATAGAAGTGTTTGTGTGTAAATGCTTTACTATGTGTATGATCTGAAACTAACCCAGATTTACTTAAGAATTTCCAACACCCTTTTTTAAACTTTTGCTCAAGCACACACACACACACACACACACACACACACACACACACACACACACACACACACACACACTCCTAGCTTAACCACAGTTTAGCATAAATACAAGGGCTCCAGTGTTGTGTGAGTTATGTAAGATTATACTGTCTGTTTCTTTTCTCCCTTGCAAAAACTACACAGTTTGCACTTACAAGATGTGACCCAAGATAGCTGATTTACTTATGTAGAGTTTTATTTTTGTTTATAAACATAAGCTGTTATGTATTATTAAACATAAAATCAACTAGTTCCGCTGTTGTTTCTTATCATAGAGTAGTGTACTAGTACCTTAAAAATCTGTCTGTTAGCCAGCGGCTCGCAAACAAGCTTCTCTACGTTTCCCCCAACAATAAATGAGGTGACTACAACTCCCATGAGCACCCAGGAGAAGATGAAGCTGAAGCCAACAGAACTGATCACCAACAAAACCAAAAAAAAAATGAAAAAGAATGTTAGTATCTAACTTTTAGCTATCATCAAATCAATTTTTTATGCACTTTAATTGTTTTGAAACTTAAGTGTTATTGTATATACACTGCCTGGCCAAAAAAAAAAAAAAAAAGAAAGTCGTCATCTGGATTTAAATAAGCAAATATGTAAGATTTTAGGACTGAATCATTATTGCATTGATTAATATGTTTCTGGCATGTTGTATGTTTGTGTCGCTTCATTTCTCAAACAACCATGTGGGAAGACCATATTCCAGAATGACAATACAAAAATCCAGCAGGCTCAAATTGTGAGAGATTGGCCACTACAGAGTCCTGACATTAATCCCACTGAAAGTCTTTGCCTGGCCAAAAAATATATATATATATATTCTAAAATTTTATTAGACAGCCTTATATCGTGCATTCATTGTGGCAATGTTTCAACAACATCATGCAACATCACAGCATTACTTTCCATCAAGAGTTGCATTAATTTTTGGCCGAGATCTTGCATTGACTCTGTAAAGTTGACTCCAGCACATCCTAAAGACTTTCAATAGGGTTAAGCTCAGGACGCTGTGGTGACAATTCATACATGAAAATTATTCCTCATGCTCACTGAACCTCTATCTCACAGTTTGGGTCCAATGAATCTTGGCATTGTCATTCTGGAATATACACATTTTCCCACATGGCTGTGTGAGAAATAAAAAGCTACGCACTGCATCAGTTAGGGTTAAAAGAATCATTGCCAAACATACTACATGCCAGAAACATATTAATCACTGCAGTAATGATCCAATCCTACAATCTCAAGTATCTGCTTATTTAAGTCCAAATTGCAACTTTTGTTTTTTTGGCCAGGCAGTGTGTGTGTGTATATGTTGTTTTGGTGTTGTCCTGATAACTCACGCCATCAGTAGGTTTCCGCCGGTGTTGGACAGACAGCCACGTGTGGTGGGTGTGGCATTTTTATCATAACCACATGATCCACACAACAGACCCAGGAAATTAAAGGTCAGAACAAGCACGACCATACAACAAATCACCACACATCCAATCCATCTAGAGACACAAACACAGAGATAAAGACACACTGAGTAAAAGTGTACACTGCATTTGTCTACAAATATTTAGTTTGTTGTCAGATTATTTTATTTACAGAAATTAATCATTTTATTCACTAAGGACACATTAAATTGATCAAAAGTGATAGCAGCGTATGTGACCATGGACCACAAAACCAGTCAAAAGGGTCAATTTCTTGAAATTGAGATTTATACATCATCTGAAAGCTGAATAAATAAGCTTTCCATTGATGTATGGTTTGTTATGATAGGACAATATTTGGCCAAGATGCAAGTATTTGAAAATCTGGAATCTGAGGGTGCAAAAAAATCAAAATACTGAGAAAATCGCCTTTAAAGTTGTCCAAATGAAGTTCTTAGCAATGCATATTACTAATCAAAAATTAAGTTTTGATATATTTATGGTATGAAATTTACAAAATATCTTCATGGAACATGATCTTTACTTAATAGCCTAATGATTTTTGTCATAAAAGAAAAATCGATAATTTTGAAACATAAAATGTTTTTTTGTATTTGAAAATCTGGAATCTGAGGGTGAAAAAAATCATCTTTAAAGTTCTCCAAATGAAGTCCTTATCAATGCATATTACTAATCAAAAATTAGGTTTTGATATATTTACGGTAGGAAATTTACAAGATATCTTCATGGAACATGGTCTTTACTTAATATCCTAATGATTTTTGGCATAAAAGAAAAATCGATAATTTTGACCCATACAATGTATTTTTGGCTATTGCTACAAATATACCCCAGCGACTTAAGACTGCTTTTGTGCTCCAGGGTCACATATTACTAGCATACTGGCTGTTTATTAATACCTATAAAGCACATATTAATGCCTTATTCTGCATGAGCATATTTTAGATCACTTAATCCTTAACTTAACAACTACCTTACTGACTATTAATAAGCAGCGAATTAGGAGTTTATTGAGGAAAAAGTCATAGTTAATAGTGAATGTGTTCCCTAATCTAAAGTTTTTTCTTGAATTCTGTTGCAGAATGTGGTTGTCACTCCCATAAGAGTGACAGCTGGATTTCTCTTTAGTATGCATGTGGCACTGGCGCATCAGGAAGCGTTACAGAAGTACCTGTAGAAGTCCAGCTGGTCGATCTGTGGATAGTACGCTTCAATGTTCTTCTGGCTCTCTGTCAGGAACTTTGTGAAGTTCTCAAGTGCTGGTTCAACCGGGAACATCTTTGTGAAAGCAACTATCTCTCCACCAGACTTATCCAGCAGCCCTTTCACTTCTTCAACAGACAGAAAAAGAGAAAGATGAACTGAATATGTGTATGTGAAAATGAGGATGACATATAAATATGTAAATCAAGAGAGAAATATATTTGTTTTGATAGATCTCCCAATATTCCCATGAAATGAGCATCATGTCTGGCACTAAAACATCTCAGTGAGGATTAGCCTAATGTTGAAGAAACACAGCACTTGAGGAACACTTACTGGGTAAAGCTTCGTTTTTAACGAGAGACAGGTGGGTTCCCGCATGCAGAGGGACAGATATGAGAACAATAATAGAAAAATATTGTGATTTCTTTCATTTCAGAGAACAAATGAGGTTAGCATGGAGAGAGAGAGAACAGAGAAAGCTGATGCTCGAGATGAACGAGTTTATGAAGGCAGCACATTAAGGCATCATAAGCAACATTCCCTATGTAGGCAGCAAGGCAGCACACGAGTTTTGGGACAAAGCTAGATAGATGAATAAAAATGCCCTCACCCGACAAAATTTCTTTTGTCTGTTCTCTGACCAACCTTGGTGTGTTGTTAAAAGAAGAGTAGCCCTGAAGAGATCAACAAAAAGAAAAGCTGGTGAAGAACTGTCACAGTACATTACAGGAGACTTATAGTGGCTGCGTGATAAAGAGAGACCCATCCGACCTTCTGTATGATGTTGCTGAGGTCTGTTTTAAGCACAGCATCCAGACTGGCCAAAGGTGCCTCAACATCAGGCAACTGTTGGATGAAACACAGGAGTTACAGTTAAAGCACACAGACCAACATATTGTGCTTCCACACATTTCAGCTTCTTAAAGAGCCCTTTTAGATCCATGTCTGTTCAGTTTAAAACAATCTATATGCTAACTAATTGAACCTTTAGGCTAAAATGTACCGTGTTTCTCTTCCAGGAATATAAAAACTCACCCTGCACTACACAGATAAGCAAGCAGCCAATCATGGATCATGACTGTTGCTACTACTAACTAAAGCTTACTGGATTTTAAATTTGGCATGAACCAGAAATTGCAATTAACTTTTTCTTTCCTATTATAATGTACATCTGAGTGAAATGCCTTCTTGAACAAAAAAAGTTTAGGTTATGGACATGATTTTGTCCACTGGGAATGTGAGGATGTTAATGTTTTTGATTAAAGACTATGGGGTTAGATATAATGTGCACGGATGAATCTTTTATAATAAAAACTGCAATATTCCATAAATACGAATTTTGATTTCAAGGTGAATGGGATGATCTTTCAATATATCCTTTCTGAAATCAGCAAAGTGATACACTGAAAGATATCCATATTAATTTTACAAATCACTGAATTTAAAACTCAGGTATAGGGTTAGAAGGTTAACATGGCAACACATTAACTAACAAGGAGCAACAATTTTCTTACAGTATTAAATAATCTATCGTTAAATAATAAATATATAACGGTGCATTGTTAGTTCATGTTAGTTCTGGTTCGCTAAATAATAACAGATGCAACTTTTGATTTTAATAATGCATTAAATGCTGAAATTGACTAACTAAGATGAATAAATGCTATAAAAGTATTTTTCTAAAAGGGTTTTTTATGAGATTCGCAGGTCTTCCTACTGTACGTATGGGTTACTTTTTGTTGTCTAACATCACATAAAAAAATTAAAAAGGGACAAATTTTACCTTTAAGTATTGCCTAATAATTGACATTGTCCTATATATCCTGATACACACACATGCACAGTATATATGGTTTGTGTGTGTGTGTGAGAGTGTGTGTGTGTGTGTGTGTGTGTGAGTGAGTGAGTGAGTACATAAAGATGCACAAGACTGATATCAACAATACTTAAAACAACAACAGGATGAACAACAACCACAATTTCTACGTTCACAAAACATGTGGGTGAAACCACTGACTTTTACCTTTAATAGCACCCTCCACTTTAACTTTTATCCATAATCACAAGCAACAGAAACAGAAAGGAACACGTTAACGAGAATAATATCAATGTGAGAGTGTGTTTTGCAGTGTTGCTGTAGCTGAAACAGCAGAGAATGATAGTAGCAACGTCAAGGTCATGGGTTCAATAAGTATTTTTAATAAGCATTTTATTTTATTTCTGTTTTGCTTTTGTTTATTTTTATTGATTTTATCAGTTATATTAGGTTTGTTTGGTATATTATTAGGTAATGTTATTTTTACTTGTTCTTAAAGCATCTTGTAATTAATTAATTATTTCAAATTAGCCCAGCCTCAACTGTATGACTTTAATTGTGACTTTATACCTCAAAATGTGACATTTCACAATTGTGACTTTTCAATTTGTTTCTGTGACTTGACATCTAATGATTGCGGTTTTACTTCTAGTGTTTATATCTCACAATGTAAATTTCTTATTTTAAATTTTAAAAAAATTTTTTATTCAGGATTGCACTGAAATGCCACATGTTAAAAAGTAAGACCATTTTAGTGAATTCAGCCATAAGTGTGTGTATTTGTTTGGTTATGCACCTGCTGTCATGCGAAGAGCGTTGTCTAAAGCAGGCACCACTTCTCTCTCCAGCTGATTATGAATCTGTCCACCCAGCAGATTCCCAATATCTGATAAACCACGTTGACAATAAAAGAACAAATTAGTAAATGCAGCTCCAACATTAAGTGCAATGATGTTCAAAAGTTTGGGGTCGGTACATTTTTTTAAATGTAGCAAGAATTTATTGAACTGATCAAAGACATTGACATTGTTACAAAAGAAGTTCTTTTGAACTTTCTATTCATCAAGAATCCTGAAAAAAATGAATCAGAGTTCCCACAGAAATATTAGGCAGCAACATTGATAATAACAATCAGCAACTATCAACACTGATAATAATAAGAAATGTTTCTTGGACACCAAAACACCTTGAAGGAACAAAAGCAATCACTGCACGATGAATCAGTTAGAATAATAACCATATAATTCAAGTCACACATCCAAAATATATCCCTGTTTTTGGTTTTTATATTTACATTGTTAAGTAATATCACACAGTGCCGTTTTTCTAAATATTAGCGCGTGAGCGTTATCGCCAGTGAAATATTAATTTTATACAACAGTTCACAAACAAGAAGTTAATATTGAGTAGGTGAGATTTTAGACACAATATTGTCTTTTATTTTTGCCAACAAAAATAGTTCCAAACAAAGTCGAATCAGAAGTCGAATGTTTTTGAATGAATCATTTGAGACAATGATTCAATGATCCATGCATAAAGACACTCACTTGCTTCGTCTCCAAATGAATCAGCCATTTTGAACGAATCGTTTGAATGAATGATTCAATGAATCACTCATTAAGACAGGGACTACTGGCGGTGTTAGTGTCATATTTATTTATCCATGACAGGCAAGTACCAGCACAAGAACACACTCAGAAAAATATTAATTATCCTTATAGAAAAAAATCCCAGTAAATTCCAAGATTTTTTTCAATATCGCACGCCCCTATTGGTGAGCATTTAAGACTCAAAAACATTAAAAAGTACTTACCAACCCCAAACTTTTGAACGCTGTGAATGTTCACACTGATACATTAAAAAAGAGGAAGAAAGACAGAGTACTTACTGTCTAAGTCTGATAATACTTTGTTCTTGGCTGTTGTGTACTGTGCAGAGAGGTAGTCTATTTGCTATAAAATAAAAGAACAAAGACAAACAGATTTAGCTTTAGTGTGTGAATATGTTTGTGTGCGTGTCTCCATGCTTTAGATTAGGCCCACACAGAATCTACAAATTTGTTAGTGCATTACTTAATTTAAGCTTTGTTTACACATTTTACCACACCATGTGAACCTGTTTATGGCTTACCACTGGTGTGTGGTTGGCAAAAGATTTCAGGTCTCTTGTGTTAGTGCTGACGAGGCGTCTGGTGCTCTTGATCTGATTTGTGATGTTCTGATTTGCTGCGTAGGCGATCGTCACTCCCACTCTGTAAACAAAGCAACATGCACGTGTAAGCTGTGTGAAATAATATGCTTACAGGTATTGTTATGCTTACACTCTGTTATGCTGGTGAAATTGTAGATTTTGGAATTACAGTAAATTAGACAGTCTGGTCTTATCTATCACCATTAAAGCCAGTGCAGCAATTACATTTGATGGAAACACTACACACTCTGAGGAAGGGAGTTTGTGATTTCAATACAAATATTCAAAATTTAGATATGCTTGCTCTACTGTATATTGCTGTCACTGACATGCAGTAACATCAGACGGCCACAGTGTGGTACTGTTGTCATGCTGTTTGAGTAATGTGATTCAAGGGTTAAAGTTTGGTACTGTTACCCAGTTTTTAATCTACTACCCAGTTTTTAACCCAGGTACCCAGTTATTCAAAGGGTACAGTTAGCTTGACCTTGTTAGCCTCTGGCAGAAACATCTAGACACAAATAGCACTTTTCTCACCATTCAAAAGTTTTTTGACAGCTATTTCCCAATCAGCATTACATTTGAACATGTCCTCAAAATCTGAAGCCTTAAAGGAGTCATATGATGCGATCTCAATTTTTCCTTTCTCTTTGGAGTGTTACAAGCTCTTGGTGCATAAAGAAGATCTGTAAAGTTGCAAAGACTAAAGTCTCAAAACCAAAGAGATATTCTTTATAAAAGTTAAGAGTTAACCACGCCTACCTAAAACGGCTCGTTCTAACACGCCCCAACATACCTACGTCGCTCTGTGGGAAGATTTGCATAACGCCGCCCAAATGTTCACGCAAAGAAAGAAGGCGTAACTTTTATTCTCACTGTAGTATTGTTGACGCTGCAGCCATGTCGTGAAGACGCTGTGTGCTTCGTTGTGAAAGCGAAACTACTTTGTTTGGTCTTCCAAAAGAAGACGATATCCGCTTCGCCATGCCTAGAGCTGATCTGTGCTGGTCGTTGAGGGAATACAACAACTTTCACCGTGGACGAAGCAGAATCCAGCCCGGGGTCCGTCACATGTGGTTGCCGCTCATCCGCCGGGCGCGCCGTTCTCGACCCCGCCGCCTCAGCTCACTCTTGCCCGGCCTCAGCTCACCTTCCAAAAATGGACACGACTAGAAATCAGTGGTTAAGTTGTATTTACAACACTGTTCCAGAACAGTTCAACCCAAATATTCAGATGTGTGCAGTGCATTTTATGGAGGACTGTTTCCTGATCCTGGGAGAGTAGATTACAATGCCGGCTGTTCTGACTCACAGACTGTAAGTACGTTTTTTATATTTAAAGAGTTTTTATATTTTATATATTTAAAGCGAGTTTTTTGGGCAGTGTAGAGTAGTGCTTGTTGTTTGTCATTTCTCCGATCACAAATGCAGACAGTTTTATGTTTACGCGGTGCGATGCAACGCAATGCGTAAAAAGACAGTATAAGTCATTATAATCCGTATTTATGTCCCCACTGGATGCAACAAATGCCTTGTTTGTAATGGGTTTTAATGTTTATGCCTCGTTGCTCCGGCTGGACATGGCATCAACAGTATGTGAGGGGCGTAACATTTCCGTCTCACGCTTGAGGTATTCGGCCAATCACAACGCATTGGATATCTGGCCAATCAGAGCACACCTCGCTTTTCAGACCGATTAGTTTTGTAAAAATCGACGCGTTTCAAAAAGGCGGGGCATAGAGGAGAAACAATAATGTACAGTATGTGGAAAATAATGTTTTTTTTTTACCTTAAACCGCATAAACACATTTCATTACACCAAATACACAAAATAATGTTCTTTTTAGCAGCATCATATGACCCCTTTAAGTTCTTAGCCCCTATGACCCTATGGGAACGCCAAGTATGCAAGCTATTGAACCATAAATAGTGAGATATCAGACAGCTTACTCATTCAGATATGAATTTTTGCCAACTTTGCAGCTAAAAAGTACACATATTTGAAGGAGTCTTGTGGCATTTACCGCTCAGGTGACTGGTTCAATAAAACCTGGAACAAAGATAGTAGATTTCAAGCATACGATTTTAGATACGGGATCCTGCACTAGCCAAACAACAGCATTGCTATGAATGGGAATGTTATGAGAAAGTATTCTTCAGGTATTATAGCCCTACTTAGCAATAGAGCAAATTACTGTTCCCATATATTATATAATAAATATATATTAAATATCATATAAAAAAAAAGAAAAAATGTTTATTAAATATTAATTAAATATTCACTAATATAATAAAAGTATTTTTATTATAAAATATTTAAATAAACTATTGTTCAAAAGTTTATGGTCAGATTTTTTTTTCTTTTTAAAGAAATTAATTATTTTATTTAGCAAGGATGCATTAAATTGATCAAAAATCACAGTTAAAGGCATTGTTACAAAAAAAACTATTTCAAATAAATGTTGTTCTTTTAAACTATTTTTCAAAGAATCCTGAAAAAATTTTTGGTGAGTATAAGAGACGACTTTCAAATACATTAAAACAATTCACCAACCTCAAAACTTTGAACGATAGTGTAATAAAAATGTTTTAAAATATATAATATGTAAATATATATAAAAATGTCACATCAAAACACAAAAGGTGAATCAGTAAATGCAGGCACACATACACACTGGTGCTCACATGGCCACAAACTAGAGACTTTACTAATTGAGTGGTGCAGATACATATTAAATGGTGGCATCTGATTACAGATTATTGCCAGACAAACCTCCTCCACTCTCTCATTTCCTCTCACAAAAAAAAATTTAATAAAGGGGAAATGTGATTCAACAAAGGAAGCCATAGAGAGAGAAAAAGAAAAGAGTGAAGAAAGAAGCAGAGCAGATTTGCACTGTCATGTTCTCTGCTCCCAAGCTTCGTCCAGCATAATTACTGCAAACCTCTCAGTAAGTCATTGAAAGTCCATCAAGACACACACACACACACACACACTCACACAGTACAGTCTACGCCTCACAAACGCCCATTGTGACCCAAACAACTGCTGTCAGCACTGTCACAGAAAAAAAACAGGAAAGAAAAAAAGAGGCAGAAAGAAAGAGGGGGGTGGGGTAGAGAAATAAAGAGGGGACTTTCTCTCTGGACAGACTCAGGGCTATCAATGTCACATGTGTGAATGTGTCTGTGTGTGTGTCATTCTAGACCACTGCAGGTGTGTTCATTACACTCTCTAGCAATGCCGCACACCAACTGATTGACTTTATGTGCACAAAATGTCTCTTATTTATTCTAATCATTATCTCTTATCTCCTAAAATTTCAGTATCGTTTAGCAATTAATAATTATCCAAATCTGACTGAAAACACAATTACACAGACCCAGTAACTAGCCTGGACTAGGCTAGATTAGCGTGGAGCAGCACAGCTTGTGTTTTTATCACACAGATGAGAGAGAGAGAGAGAGAGAGAGCGAGAGAGAGAGTGCAGTGATAGGATGATGGTGGTTCAGTGTACCTGTGACCTCTATTCTATTTCTAGAGCTAAATAACTCTAATGTACTTTAACTATAATCACTGGTCACATTTACACGCAGACTGGCCCCCACACAGTGACATATGTACTTATATTATGCATATAGTGCATTGTACAGTATGCATTGTACAGTATATTGTTATGCCAGTGTGTGTGTGTGTGTGTGTGCGCGTGTGTGTGTGTGTGTGTGTGTGTGTGCGTGTGTGTGTACCTGTTTTTCTATTCTGGTGGGTGACTTAAACCTGAATACACACAGACTCATAGGGAGTCGTGTCACAGTGGGGACCTAAATTGAGGTCCCCACGGGTAAACAAGCTAATAAATCACACAGAATGAGGATATCATAAAATGTGTAACAGGCAATTGGCTCTTTTAACTGTAAGGTGGAACTTCCAATCTGGCCAATTATATCAAATTGATATATTATATAATTATATATGTTATATAATTTACCAAATAATTGTAATATATTTGTTACTATTTTATTATTAATATTTTGTATATATACACTGCTATATAATTGAATATATAATTTTATTATATTTGTAAATATTTTAATGTTAATATTATTTATAGAAAATTGGTGACTCCTTTTAACAATACAGATTATGTCAAAGCAACTGTATAGCATTAATTAGGAAAATATTGTGTCAACAATGCAAAATGGCAATAGTAAACACTCTTTAATTCACTTTAATTTTCAGTTAAAGGCAGTTCATCATTGAATTCAGTGATGTCATCATCCAACTCAGTTCAGTTTAAATAGTGTCTATGTCTGTGTGTGTGTGTGTGTGTGTGTGTGTGTGTTTGGATATCATGTGTCTTGTGTTTCAATAATATAGTTTGAATCAGAAATGTTAAAACAACATTTAAATAACACTTCAAATCAGGAATAAAAAAACCCGAGGATATCATAAAATGTGTAACAGGCAATTGGCTCTTTTAACTGTAAGGTGGAACTTCCAATCTGGCCAATTATATCAAATTGATATATTATATAATTATATATGTTATATAATTTACCAAATAATTGTAATATATTTGTTACTATTTTATTATTAATATTTTGTATATATACACTGCTATATAATTGAATATATAATTTTATTATATTTGTAAATATTTTAATGTTAATATTATTTATAGAAAATTGGTGACTCC